GAGAAAAGAGAAGCAATCTGGCAGCAAAATTATTTACCATTCTGAAATGTTGTGAAACCATGTTTTGAGTGGGGAGAAAAGTGAGTATGGATTTGGAATTAATCCATCTTGATGTCAGAAAAGGCCATAACATGGCTTATTGTCAGGTTGCCTAAATGGTTCTATGCCCATTAGTACTTTCTACTTAGGTTTGAAAGTAATAATAAAAAGTACTGAACACAAGGCACAGAAGCTAAAGATTAAGTCATTCATCTGGGTGGTCTTACTAGAAAAGATTCTGTGATTACCATCCAAATAAATCAAGGGCTAATTTTAATAGGCTGGAGAGCTACTTTGCAGCATAACAATTTTCTTCAGTGTAGATTTTAAGGAAATTCTATGATAGCCACATCTGCACTTTTGACAATGCATGGCAAGACTAAGATTGCATCACTAAGAACAGCTGGAGGATGAAAATACATCCACTTATTACTATGAACTGATTGATAATGTAGTTTCTGTTGTCCCCAAAATGCACATTAAAGAATACTCCCATTTTTGCATAATTAACTGGAGCAAGATTAGGGTAACATTTGGGGGGTATTTTTAAAAGATAACAGATGGGTATCTTTGAAATACATATTATAAAAAGGAAGACATTGCGATTGCAGAGCAACCAAGTGCTCCTGAGTTAAATCATTTTAACAATGGTGATAGCGGTCTAGCTTTCCATCAAAGCAATGACAAATAGCACACACAGTGCTAATGATAACCAAGGCACCTGGCAGATGTGCAGTTGAAGGCATGATGGGATTTGATGTGTGATCTCCACAATCACGCTTCCTGCAATGATGTGGCATCAGTTCCCATTTCTCCATATTGCCTGCACTGGAAAGTAGTAAACTCCTGCAGCTGGGAGTCCCAGCAGCTGATCTGGTCTCCCAGCTGCAGGGGTGCAGTGGAGCCCTGATGTGCTGCAGGGATGCAGGCTGGGAGCACTAATGTGCTGCTCCTCCCAGTGGAGAAGGTATATTGGAGTCAAGGCTTTCGGATGCACCCATGCAGCTAGGAGCAGCAGCTGATCATGGCTCCCAGCCTCCGTCACGTTGGAACCCTTAACTCTGATGTGTCCCCAGGGCTCGGAGCAGCAATCAGATGAAAAGGAAGAAAGAAAAGGGCTCCCATGCACCCTGGAGATTGGGAGCCCTGACTACACATTCAGTTAATGGCGTAATAGGAACTAGCCATGAAGTTCTTACACATTTTTAGTGTAATAACGTTGCGGCTTATTTCTTGTTTTATCATGCCATTAATTGCATTAATGTGTGGCTGGGTAACTATCTAAGATGTGATTAACTGGTTAATTATGTCCTAAGTAACTTGTGCCAGGGGCCTAAGTGAGACAGTTCAGTTGCCTCATCTACTTTATTTGGCACAGGTGAGACCTCATGTGAAGTACTGTACCCAATTTTTGGCCCAACACTTTAAGAAAGGTGTGGAAAGATTGAAAAGAGTCCAGCACAGAATGACAAAAATGACTAGGGGCATGGGAGGCAAGATTTATGAGGAAAGACTGAAACAACTAGGGTTATTTAATTTGGAGAGGAGAAGAGTGAAGGTAGGGGTGGGATCTTCTAAATCTTCAAATACCTGAAGGACAATTATAAAGAGGATGGAGATAGACTGTTATCTGTGGCCTTAGAGGTCAGGTCTAGCAGCAGTAGCCTGAAGCTGTCTCAGGATATTTAGGTTGGAAATTCGGAAGAATTTTCTAACTATAAGGATGGTAGAGCACTGGAACAAGGTAGACAGACATTTGGCTGGGGTGGTTTAGTCATGGATGATCCTGCCTTGAGCAGGGGGCTGTACTAGATGACATCATGAGGTTCCTTTCAGCCCTACATTCCTATGATCCAATTTAAGAGCACTATATATGCTTCCTATTTCATCAATATTAATTGTGTAGTTTTCCTACTTTAATTTCTAGTTGGTGGTAAAATTCCTGGGTACACAGAAGATTGACCAGTGGTTCTCAACCTCATTAAACTGGAGCCACCCCTTGTTAAACTGAAGGCACCCTTTGGAAAATCCTGGCTTTTACTTGCTTTTGACCATGGAAAAATAATAGAGTCATTCTTTAGTTGGAAAGAGTTCAGACCACAGGAAGTTCCAGAATGTTTTTGACACTGTGGATTCCTTATTTGAAATCTCTGGGTTTAGCTTGTGAATGGTACATCATTCTAACAGTGCTGATATTTAGCGGTACCTTTAAAAGAATCTTATGGCACCCCAGAGTGCTGTGGTACCTTGGTTGTAAATCACTGAGATTAGACAAATAACCTCAGAATTATAAGAGCATAAACACAAACCTTCGTAAAACTACCTCCCCTACTTATTGTTTTTTATCTTGTATTGCAGTCTCTTAGCCTGCCCATCTCCTCTTCTACTAGTGGCTCCAACTTTAATATATTGTTTGTCTGCTTCCCTCTTTGTCCATATTGCCATATATAAATGGAATACCCATGATGATCTTCGGCTGAGAGACTCCCACCCTTGCCTCATTTCCATCCTTCCTGAAGATTTGCTTTTCCATTGACACCGTTTGAAAATAATCCTCTTAGTCCTGCACCTGTATAATGTGTATCTTCAGATTTTTATGTTCTCTAGAAAAGGCTGTATCCTGGGTGCTAAGTACCACAGAGAGTAATTGTGGTATATCTTCTCAGTGCATATGCGATATAGAGATACCATGTTAGTCCTGGCACAGTGCCATGCTGTAGAATTTCCCAGGCTAATAAGTCTTGCTTTTTAGTGCATCTGATTACCCCGGGTGCAGTACCATGCTGGTATAGCTATATACTAGGGCTGTGCAAAACGGCACCGTTCCACTTTGACTTCCATTTCATCATTTTGACAAAACAGTGTTTTATTTTGAGTTTTGTTTAGTTTTGAAAGCACTGTTCTGTTTCATTTTGTCTAAACTGTTTTGCTGTTTCGACATTTTGTCCATAGGCAGTTTCATGCTTCCCCATTATAGCCTATAACTTTGTCATTTGTAGCCTGATTTGGATGAAACTTGCAGGGATGGAAGCCCCTTCTGAGGGCATGAAGCCTGCCATGTTTGAAGGAGATAGGTGCAGAGGTTTCTGGGAAACTGCACCTTACCCCTCCACTCACTGATCGGCCAGTATCCCCCCCGGGCGCTTGTCTACTGGCCGCTGGGGAACTCCTTCCTTCTTGACCAGCCGCCGGGGGTACATTGACCCAAAAAGGTTGAAAACCCCATGTATTATATAATATTACACATTATAGTAATAATTTAAAGTGCTAATAAATGTGAAACTCAGATTAATTTTCAAATTGACATTATGGGATTGTGTGCATGTCTACAATAGTAATTTACCATGCTAAAAAGTTAACAGTTACCTCACTGCTTGGCACACTGCTGCTTCTACTTGAAGTACTGTGGCCTCATTTATTCTGCTTTTCCCCAACCTGTGTAGTTCTGCTCAACTCACCGCTGCACTCAGGCAGCTATTCTGTTTTCCAGCCAACAGGTAGCATGCAAGAGGCAGTGGGAACTGTTTCAACACTGCTGCCTGACACTGTGAATTAGCAGTTTAGCCATTCTCTTTTTTCCAACAATGGCTTGTGACTGTAAACATCACAGTTCTTGGATTCCCAATTGGAAGTACTATAAAGAGGCCCTCAAGTTCAGAAAGCTGCTGAACAACCCACTCCTTGAAAAACAGGCTTTTTAAAAGAGTCACCAGTTTATTATGTGTTTGTACAGTGCCTGATGCAACAGAACTGTCTAGTTGTAACCTTCAGGTATTCTCATCACACTGTAAATGTTAAATACTAATAATAAATGTTAAGGGGAAGAAAAAAATACTGTAGCAATCCTGTCATTGCAAATACTTTTAAGTACAAAGATTAAAAACTAAAGCCAAAGGGAACATTTAGATTGAAGATTTAGGAGATCAGATGTCCATGTCATCTTGCTTTAAGATTCAGACCAACATATTGCAATAAGGAATAGCCTCCATAACTGCCAGTGTGTGAAAGCTCTGTAGGCTTGCTGGACTCTGCAGTTGCAAAGGCTATTTCTGCTTGTAAAGAAGGAAATGGTAATAATAATCACTCCTATTTGCAGCTATACAGTGCCATTTTAGAATCCTACACCCACCCTAACCATCTTTTTCAGACCTGGCAAATCTTTAAACGTTCTAAAACAAAAGCAACTTCTTGAGGGGGAGAATATAGAAGATGGCATTGGTTATCCAATTCCATTTTTGACAAGTTTTCACCTGGATACATTTTCTGAATAGACTGGATTTACAGCTAATGAGTCAATTTACAGTTGAATGAGACAGAAATGATATTTAATAATATAAATGTTAGAAGCTAGAATAGAGTTGAAAAGAAGTTGGGTTCATTAGAAAACATTTTAAACATAATACACGGGAGTCATTGTAATCTAAAACTAGTCCAGGCAACTAGACTAGAATGTACCATAAGGAAGAATCCTGCTCGCCCTAAGGAGAAATGATCAGGATGACCTAATAGGTATTTTCCATCTCAAGTTTCCACAACTTAAAAGGTAATTATTATAGCATCTCATACAATTAGAAGAGCACAATAAATATTAAAATTAATATTTCTCTTGTACTAAATGATTGAAAAATGAACAGATATACTAAAGCCATTTTTCTACAATGCTATACTTTCTTTTAACAAAGTCTTCAGTTAAGTGCTATGAAAGAAAGGAAACAGAGACTGACTCATAGAAAACTGAGATCACTTCTTGGATTACATACGAGTGTGAATATTTAAAGTTGACATTATGAAGGTTATGAAGTGTTTTTTTGCTGTGCCACAAGTGAATCATTGATACTGACAGGAAGAAAATGAATACATGTGGGGAAAATTAGCTGTATTATTGACATATTTGGGTTTTTTTCCTTTTTTCCTTAATTTTGTCTGTTTCTCTCTTTACTTCATTCCTCTTTCCCCCCCAGGGTAAATGGGAAATTGTGGGCATTGAAGGTGATTAGATTACAAGAAGAGGAAGGAACTCCATTTACAGCTATCAGGGAAGGTATGCACTCATGTTTAATGATTGTTTGTGGTTTTTGTTATAACATTGCACTTGTTCTTTTCAATGCCACACTATATTGAATAGCATGAGACTTTAAATTATATGGTTATATTTCCTGTAGCAGGAGATTTTGGTACTTTAAAAATCGAATCCTCCCTCCAGTGTAGGAGTTCTTGTTAAAAAAAACAAATCTGTGCCCCTACTTTGTTTATAAGACCTGCTAGTGTGGGTGCAAATGACATCGTGAATAGAGCATGTGTGTGTTTGGGGTGGGAGTAAGAGTGTCACTGATAAGATTTGAAGGAGTTTGGTTCAATATCAATGTTTATTATGAAGCTGCACCTAAAATAAGGACTGATTTAACTTTTTATTTACTTGAGGTTGCATTCCATGAATATTTCCCTCATTTTTCACTGAGGTCTTATAAGGTTCAGAGATAAATATGGTAACCCCTTTAAAAGCAATGCTGACTGATTTATCTTCTTAGTTAACTTCCTGTGCATGGTTTCAGTTGTTTTGCCCCACTGACTGTTCTGTCTGGCTTAGGAATGACTCTTATCTAGCTGAGTATGAGAGGTCTGTTCATGCTTTCTACTCCACTCCCTTTATCCTTCCTTGTCAGCCTCTCCAGTGTTTCCTGATGACAGCTTCTTTATCTGAGCCTGGCTGCTTCTAACTCCTTTTCAGAAGTCAGTGTACATGTCTTCTTTGTACAGGCCCACTGTGTTAGAAGGTACTAAAGATGGGCATGGGGGGATAAAATTTCAAACAATTTACCATGCAGTCACTGATTTAAGTTCAGCTAAAGTAGTAGTAGCTAAAGTCAGAACTTTTTTTTTTTTTTCCCAGCTATTCAGTAATCTGTCTAAAGTATGTTGATAACCTCAGTATAATTGCCAGAATAGGGAGGAGGGTCCAGAGTACATCAAAACGTCAGCCAAGATTGGTACTTTTATCTTGGCAGAATAAAGCAAGCCTTTCTTAAGACTGAGCCAACTTCATAACGAAGGTGATCCCCCTGCCCCCAGGAAGGAGGAGAGGGGAATGAAAAGAGACTCAGTGGGGTCATCTACACATGTGCTTTACTGTGGAGTTGACTAATTAGCTTGCAGTAAAGTATCCCCCATCTACACATACAGTGCTATTAGGCCAGAGTAAACTAATTAACTGTGCCATAGGATAGTACTGCCTGATACAAATACTATTCTATGGCAGAGTTATTTAGTGTACTGCATTGCATATGCAGACAGTGACCAGAGCTGGCTAGGGCACACGAGTGCTACAGTGCAGGGGCTGCCTACTGGCTAGCCCTGTACTGTAGCACTCATGTGCCCCAGCCAGCCCCTCCACAGCACGCTGAGCTGGGGCAGAGCAGCTCTGGGCTGGCGGGCTGAGCCCCTGGACTCTGTCAGCTGGGTCTGTGCTGCCACGGCTCAATATGTAAATGCTGCACCCATGAACAATAAACTTTGGTGCGAACTGTGCTTGAGTTTATTCAGCCTTCCTAACTGCATGTGTAGATGCGCTCAGTGATATGCTGTTGTAATGCTATTGTGATGCAGGTCTGCCATTGTCTCTTATCTGTAGTATTGCTCGAATAATAATAGAGTAATCTCAGATACATACATATTTCAGTGCAAATATAAATAATATTTACTTTTAAATAGTTTTCTTATGGAGTCATATTGGTAACTAGGTATATGTAAGACAACTACTTCAAATGTTAATATCATACTGTGATTGAGCTGCTAATATTTCAAGTCTGTAATATTTTTGCAAGTTGTTAGTGAATTTAGTACACATTAAACTTCCTTGCCCCACCCCCCAACAAGAACCTCCCAAAACAAACGGAAAACCCAACAGCTCTAATAAGCCCAACCAGTTGACTCATCTTCATTTATGCTCTAGAACAAGGGTATCAAACATATGGCTTGTAGGCTGGATCCGGCCCACAGAGCCATATTGTCTGGGCCGCAGGGCTCCTAGAGGGGCTAGGAATTGAAGTTTGGTGCTCTCCATTGAAATCTGGGGTACAGAGCCTCGTTGGGGACATGGGCGAATGACAGGTGCATTAACAGATGGCTACCCCCTGCACAGAAGGGACAGAGTAGGGAGAAAAGGTGGAGGGGTAGCTCTCTACGTGAGAGAGCAGTACACCTCTCTGGAGGCTGACATTGGCTTCAAAGATAAGCAACTTGAAACCCTCTGGGTCAAGCTACGGTGGGGGAGGACGATGACAAGGTGAGAGAAACCTAACTGTAGGCCACCAAACTACTACAGGCCACCAAACCAAGGGGAGGAGCTAGATCTGGAGTTCTCTTGAGAACTGACAGAGCTGAGCATGCAAGGGACTTGGTTGTCATGGGTGACTTCAATTACCCGCACATAGATTGGGAGGAACACTTGGCTAGGTCAGATCGTTCATGCAGCTTCCTGACTGTGATCGAGGAGCTCTTCCTGACCCAGAAAGTGCAAGGGCCAACCAGAGGTAATGCTCTCCTAGACTTGGTCTTGGCCAAGGGATATGATCTGGTGTGTGGTTTGAACATTGACGGTAACCAGGGTGACAGAGACCATGAAATGATCAGGTTCACCATCTGCCACAAGGTCGACAAATCAACCAGCAGGATTGAAGTTCTGGACTTCAAAAATGCTGACTGTGACAGGCTCAGAGCATTAGTAGGGGAGGCAATGCAGGACCAGGAAAGGAAGGCAAATGGGGTGCATGAAGAGTGGTTGTTGCTCAAAGATATGATCCTCGAAAGCACAAAAGAAAACCATTCCTGCCTCCTGGCTTAATAGGGACATTGCTGTCCTCTAAAAAAACAAAAAAGAGATGTATGCACAGTGGAAGCTAGGGATGGTCCTCAAGAAGGACCATACTACAGTGGCCAACACTTGTAGGGAAGACTGAGTTTAGGTTAGCTACGGGAGTCAAGGACAATACGAAGTCCTCCTTTAGGTATTTAGGCAGTAGAAGGAAAAGAAATGGAAGCATGGGACCCCTGCTTAACACCTCACGACAGCTGGTAACTGATGTTCAGGAAAAAACTGAACTCCTGAATGCCCACTTTGCTTTGGTATTTCACCGGACCATGGGGAAAGTCAACTGAGATAAGGCTCATAGGGGGCACACCGGGATTGGCAGCCTCCCCACTGTGGATGCTGAGCGGGTGCAATACCAACTAGAAAAGCTAGACATTTATAAGTCAGCGGGACTGGATGGACCCCATCCGAGAGTGCTGAAGGAGCTGGCTGAAGTCATCGTGGAACCCCTGGCAAAACTCTTTCAGAATTCACAGCACACAGGCAGACCCCTGAGGATTGGAAGAGGGCCAACATTGTGCCCATCTTTAAGAAGGGGAAGAGGGAGGACTTGGGCAATTATAGGCCAATCAGCCTAACCTCAATCCCATGGAAAATCCTGGAAAATCTTATTAAATAATCTATTTGTGATACACTTGCGGAAGGTAAGATTCTGAATGACAGTCAGCATGGCTTTGTCATGGGTAGGTCTTGTCTTACCAATCTCGTCTCCTTGTATGACCAGGTCTCTTGCCACCTGGACATAGGATACAAGGTAGATGTTATATACGTAGACTTCCAAAAGGCTTTTGGTCTAGTATCCCACAATATCCTTGTGGGAAAACTGGAAGATTGTGGGCTTAGCTGCTCAATGGTTCAGTGGGTAGGAAGCTGGCTACAGGGTAGGACCCAGAGAGTTCTCATGAATGGATGTGTCATCCTGGCGCAAAGTGGCCAGTGGTGTCCCTCAGGGGTCCATGCTTGGACCTGTGCTTTTCAACATCTTTATCAATGATTTGGATGTGGAGTGAAAAGCTTACTGGCCAAGTTCATGGATGACACCAAGTTATGGGGCAGTGTGGTCATGTCAGAAGATAGGTTGCAGATACAGGCAGACCTAGACAAGTTCAAGAGTTGGGCAGACTGGGACCAGATGAAGTTTAACACTTCTAAGTGTAAAGTGCTCCATCTGGGGGCAAACAACCCTCAACATACATACAGGCTTGGTGGTGGCAGCTTGACTTGCACCGTGGCCGAAAGGGACCTAGGGGTAATGATTGACCGTCGCATGAATATGAGCCATCAGTGCGAGGCAGTGGTCAGGAGAGCAAATAACATGCTGGCATTTATTAACTGATGCATCTCATGTAAAACTAAGGAAGTGATATTCCTTCTGTACTCAGCACTGGTGAGACCGCAGTTGGAGTACTGCGTCCAGCTCTGGGCGCCACACTTCAATAAGGACATGGAAAAACTGGAGCGGGTCCAGAAAAGAGCCACCCGTATGATCAGGGACTTGCAAGGCAAGCCATACAAGGAAAGGCTGAGGGACCTGGGCCTCTTTAGTCTAAAGAAGAGAAGGTTGAGAGGGGACTTGATAGCAGCTTACCACTATATCAGAGGTGTGCATCAGGAGCTTGGTGAATTGTTCACTAGGGCACTCCTGGGAAGACCAGGACCAATGGATACAAACTCTTGTAAGGCTGCTTCAGGCTTAATACCAGGAAAAACTCCTTCACAGTCAGGGTGTCCAGACAGTGGAATAAACTCCCTCCAGAGGTGGTACAGTCACCTACCCTGGAGGCTTTCAAGAGGAAACTGGACAGTCACCTCACTGGTGTCACCTAACCCTAGTTGTCTTCCTGCCTAGAGCAGGGGTGCTGGACCCGATGATCTGCAAGGTTCCTTCCAACCCCTAACAATATATGAATCTATGAAAAACCCCTGTAGGTCCCGTCCCCCCTGCCACCCACCCCAACATCCCTCACCTTGATGCCAGTCTGGCCCCTGAGGAGCTCCATGGTTCAGATCTGGCCCAGGGGATGGGTGAATTTGACCCATGTCTCCTAGATTAGGTGTCAGCAAACTATGGCTCATGGGCCTGATCCATTCCCATGGAGCCACTGGATATGGCCCATGGATGTAGGACTTTGGCTGCAGGTGTTGTCCTCCTATTGCCTCTGATCTGGGATGGG